CCAGCCAGTCACCGAGGGCAGGTATTTTATATTTTGCTGTGTATGAAATCTCTGCCTTATGCAAATTCGAAGGCATACAACGGAATAGAGGCTCTTGGGGCTGAGAGAAGAGGGGAGGGAGTTACCACTCAGCAAGAGCAGAAATTCTGTTGGGGATGTTGAGAAAGCTTTGGGCGTACAGAGCAGGGGGCTGTGTGTTCAGCACATGGTTGTGTTCTTGGGAAAGCACAGTGTGCCATCAGCAGCCCCAGTAAACAGTTTGCTTTAGGAGTTACCAGGACGCCCTGGGTCCTGGAGATGTTTCTGCCATCGCTGTGCAGACGCAGGCCTGGGGCAAGAGGGTCTTGTCCTGCCTCATTGCCAGCGGTGAGCCAGTGCTGCCCTGCAGAGGAGAGGGCGCCAGGAGCAAAAGGGTTCAGGGGCTCGAGTGTTGTTAAAGACAGCACTCAGAGCATGCAGGAGAAAGCTTCCAGAAGCACTGAGAACCTGCTCCTTGATACATAGGGAGTTAGAAATACTCCCAAGGACGGCCTGCCTGGGAGGCACTGCACTCTCCGTGGTCCAAGATGAAGAAGTGCTGTGTCTTTCCCTGCCTGAGGGGCACGTGCGAGGACACCAGGAAGTGGCGTGCTCCAGCATGTGTGTCAGGTCGGGCAGGCAGGCCTCAGCTGCAGGAAACTCTGCCTTCCCTTCTAAAGGGACTCCGGGATTTCTCCCTGATGCTATCAGCCCCTTGAGAAATGCGCAGTGGGCCGTGGAGTTGCAAACCAAAGCAGACGGGACACAGGTGTGGGGTCACCAGATGTGGTCCCCTGTGGGTCAGCTTGTGAATTGGGGATGTGCTGCCTTGTCAGTGTCCTGATGGCAGGTGACCCTCTCTGGTGGGTGTTATGGGAGGGACCGACACTGTGCTGTGCTCCAGGTGTCCCGCGATGGCGGAGCTGCGTCTCCTGCCACTGAAGGCCGGGGAGGCGGAGAAGTAGAAGGAGGCAGGACAGCGCTGGATAACAAGACCTCGCTCCTCAACACCCAGCCTCCGCGCGCCTTTCCCGGGCCACGTGCACGAGACTACAATCCTTTTCCCTATTCTGACACCATCAACACCTATGACAAGACAGCGCTAAAGGAGGCTGTGTTTGACGATGACATGGAGCAGCTTCGAGATGGTTTGTCTCTCCTTGTGTGACCTCCCCCGCCACCCCAGCACACACACAGTGCCTTCCATGTGCTGCCCCATCACATTAGCTCAGGTGCACTGGGCCAGTGCCAGGGTAGTGAACTTGCTCAGGAACTCTGCTGAGCATGGGGCAGGGGTGGGGCAGTAGTGGCACAACGGTGCAAAGGCCTCAGTGACCCTGGTTCCCCTGCTTGTGGAGACAGCCAGAAGTCACTGTCCCACTTTGGGTGGTGTCGACAGCGAGTCAGGGAGCAGGGAGCTCCTGGGACCCGCCCTCATAGCAGCTGCATGGCCACATCTTGTGGGGCCGCACATGGGACTGAGTTGCGTGCCATACCTGCCTGCCTCAGCTCAGCAGCAGGGGAGATTGTTCTCATTACAGAAGAAACAGGCTCAGGAAAGTTAGCTTGCATGCCCAGTATACAGTGGTTCATATGGAACACAGTTGGGCCAGCCCTCTGCAGACTCCTACGTGAAGACCAGTCAGCAACTTACTCATTTGCTGAATAAGTATATGTTGGTATGAGTGAATGTTTATCTAGAACTTGTTGGTTTTTCACCTCATTGTTATGGTCACATACCTTGGTTTATTCCAACTTGATGGTAATTTTTTAAAAATTACATAGATCTGTTTTGTTTGAAAACCTGTTTTTGAAGTTTTGGTGAAGATAGAACCGTAACTGGGGCCTCCAAACAGTTGACAGTCACATAGTTCCTGGTCTCAGAGCACACAGGGCCACCTTCTGAAGAAGCGGCCTTCTCCCGGGACTCCCCGGTGGTGGGCTGGTGCTGTGCAGTTCGTGCCAGGGTTACCCGTTCTGAAGGCATGGGTCTTCCTGCTGGTGCAGTTGGCACCTCTTCACCTTTGGCTCTCCACAAAGGTGGAATGGAGACAAGAGTGGTGCTTGTTACTTATTTGCCTCCTGTGTACTAAAAGGCTTAAAGAACAACACGGGGTGACAAGGGAAAATGACGAAGTTCTTTAACACCTCCAACTTCCTTGTGGGTTTGCTCGCCAGTCTTAGAGGCTAAAGAAATATGCACATAAGCATCTTAGTGGTTCCGTCTGGCTTGTGCTTCCACCATGCTCATGTAAAATGTCATCTTCGGAGTGGACCCCTTGTCAAAGGCCATGAGTCCCTGCGAGTGCTGCTACTTGAGGTCCGTGGACTAGCCCTGTGGGATTTGAGGTGACAGTTCTCGAACATACCCCACCCCGGCTACTATCTGCTCATTGTGCTCTGCATGGTGGAGCAGGAGACAGATGCTGCCCAGCTGTGGTGGCTGGAACATGTGTGCCCTGGAAGAGAGGGTGACAGTGTGGGCTAAGCAGAGGGACAGATTCTGCCCAGCTGTGATGGCCCGAACAATGTGTGCCCTGGCAGAGAGTGCCGGAGTCCAGCTCCAGCTGAGTTCGGAACTCGCGAAGGGTGCGTGGATGAGGCATAAAGAGGAAAGAAAGAGACGGACCACTAGGACTTCATGATCATAATGGACAGCGCACAAAAGCTGTCCGCTTTATTTATACAAAATCAGTCAAACTCTGGCCCAGACTTTTTACCTCATGGTCAAGTGGGTGTTTCTAAAGATAACTCTACCATAGTATTACCTAGAAGTTCCTGCTGCCAGTACCTAGAAGTTCCTGCTACAATTCTTATCCTACAATTCAATCTTGTATCACAAAGAAAAGGAGAACTTAAAGATCAAGGAAAGAATGAAAGCCTAAATACAGGTCCCTTGATTAGCATAGGTTCAATGGGGACAGCCAAGACAGTAGGAATAATAAAGGGCCCTTTTTGCAAGATATTGACCTCCAAGCTCAGGCTGAGCAAAAGGTTAACCTCACAATAGCAAATGCCAGGATGGATTAGAATTCTTCCACAGGGTGGTCCGGTGTCCATGCAAAAGAAGGTGGAGCTTAATTCAGGTGGTTGTAGAGACATCCGCTGGGCGGGCCCTGCGGAACAGCGGGAAATTCCTTGTGGCCCTGCCTGCAATGGAACACTCTTCACCCCCTCAAGTCCCTCATATCTACTGCACGGACCCCAACAAGAGAGGGTCGCAGTGTGAGCTGAGCAGAGACTGCTGCAGTGGCAGGGCCTGAGGCAAGCCATGGTAGAGCAAGGGCTACTGGAGGCCAGCGTCATCTTGTCTGTGTGAGGTAGGGGGAGAAGACGGCAGGGGGGACGGGCCCTGGGTATTGCTTCAGGGCTGCTGAGGGCATGGAGGCTTAGCCTGGACAGCAGTGCAGGAGGCAGCAATCACAGGTGCTGATCTCTGCCTTTTCCATTCGCCAGTGCCCATTGACCATTCCGACCTGGTGGCCGACCTTCTGAAAGAGCTGTCGAACCACAATGAGCGTGTGGAAGAGCGCAAGGGTGCCCTGCTGGAGCTGCTCAAGATCACACGGGAGGACAGCTTAGGCGTGTGGGAGGAGCACTTTAAGACCATCCTGCTGCTGCTGCTGGAGACGCTGGGTGACAAAGACGTGAGGCCCTGGGCCCTGGCGGGGGAGGGGAGGGTCGCTGCCAGCCGCAGCTCAGGGCGGTCTGCTCCAAGGGCTGGGCAGGGTTCCCTAGAGCCCTGCTGGCCTGGCACAGGGTCTTTGAGAATGCACTTCTGCCCATGTCTGGGATTTATTTCATGGGCGCTCAAGAAATGAGCCATTCATTTGTTCAAAGGCCCCCGTTTCATGCCCTGTTCCCTGGAATTCTGCCTCAGCACAGCCCACATGGGCTGCGGTCCCAGTAGTCTTGGTCAGTTGAGTGAGTGGTTCTGGAGCTTGAGACTTGTGCCATGAACTTCAAGGTGAAAAGGCTGCTTGGCACCAGGACAGGAGGCCTTGGCGACTTAGCCTGCTTCTGCCTGGGATGGGCTGCGTGTTGGAACCTGTGAGATTCTGCTCTGGAAGGGAACGTCTGCTGCCCATGCCCTGGCTTTGTGGGCAACAGAAACAATGGTGATGGACGTGTGGTCAGGAGCACAGGGCAGGGCCAGGAGGGCTGCCAGGAAGCTAAACCCAGAGCCAGGTGGCTGACTGTGCCCTGGGTCACGATGGGGGAGAAGGCAGGGAGTTTCCTGGCAGACTGGTTGCTTTCTGCTGCTCAGGATTCATGGTTTGGGTCAAGGGTAAAAGTAGAGCTAGAAGAACGATGCAGACAAGGTAAAGCTGGATGTTAGCTCGAGAAGCAGCTGGGCTGCCTTGGGCCCTGTCAGGAGGGACACAAAGTGATGTCATGTGGAGGGCAGGTGTGTTAGTGTGGGGACCAGACAGATAAGTGACAGTCGGGATGTCTTTCTCAGCTCCTTCCCTGAGATTAAGAGTATGTTAGCAATGGCCTTCCTGCAGGAGCCAGATTTTGCCTGACCCCTCAAGGTCTGGCAGACCCAGTGAGATGTGCAGGCAATCATAGGGTCAGGGTCAGCTGCTCGCTGCTTACCCTTGGGGCACATTTTATAGGATAGTCCTGTGAGGAGCTGAGGCTGCCGATGAAAAGGCATGGCCTCTAGCGCGGGCTTGTTCCAGAAGCCTTCATTGGACCCCTGTGAGGCGCTGGGTCCTTGGCATGCCCCTGTAGGGCATGGTCCCTGCCCTCTTGGAGTTTACTGTCTAAGCTCTGAGACCATGTGGCCTGTGCAGAGCCTTTGGGGTGTCCAGGGAATACTAGGGAATCCCAGATCAGTTGCACAGCCTTTCAGGGTGTGGCAGGTGCTATGTACTCTGTGGTCATGGCTTCTCCCTGTCTCATACCCAGCATTCCATCCGCGCACTAGCGCTCAGAGTTCTGCGGGAAATCCTGAGAAACCAGCCAGCAAGATTCAAAAACTACGCCGAGCTAACAATCATGAAGACTCTGGAAGCCCACAAAGACTCCCATAAAGAGGTGAGCACTCCCTGAGCCTGGGGTGCTAGGCAGTTGGGGCTCGGCGTGGGACCCCATAGAGAGCGAATGGTCCTTGCTGCCCTGTGGCAGGCCAGCAGTGCAGTCTGAGGCCAAAGCATGTCTCTGCTTCCTGACTCCCCGAGGCTCCCACAGGCAGCCCTCCAGCCTGTTGGTGGTCGGGGAGGTCTGATGATCTGGCGTGGAAGTGGAGGCTGGCTTGGGGATCGGCTAGGCTCAGAGACAGAGCTTGCTGGCACCAGAGCCCTGGACAGGCTCCTTCCACCTGTGAGCTCAGGGGCCTCTCAGAGTCTCCCGGCAGTGAGAGATCATCAGAGATACCTCTGGCCTGACGCTGTTGACAGTAGGTGCCAGCTGTCCTCCCTGTTCTCCCTGTGGGCTGCTGTCTGGAAAGAGGACACAGTCAGAGGCTGCCCACTGCACTCCTGCTGCCCCCGTGGCGCTGGGAGCTTGGCTGCCGGGTGGGCTCTGTCTGTTGCATGTGGCTGCCCGCAAAGGATAGGCCCTGTGGCAAGCAGCTGCAGTCGGTTTGGGCTGTCCACACCTTGGGTCAGAGCCCTGGCTGTGGTGCTGGCTCCACTCTCTGCTCAGCTGCCTGCTGATGTACATCCGGGGAGGTGGCCAATGACGACTAAGTACTTGGGTCCCTGCCATGCACTGGAGAGCCCCAGATGAAGTTCTGAGCCCCTGGCTTCATCCTGGCCCAGCCCCAGCTCTTCCAGGAGATGGGCTTTGTCTGTCAGTCTCTCTGCCTCTGTTCTTTATGTACAGAATAATCAGATATATATTTTAAAATTTCCTCTTTGAGTAAATAAAAGTAAATTGAGCACTGTGACTTTTTTAAAACTTTGTCAGAGGCCCCTGAGAATTATAAGTTATCATCTGTTGTCCATTTCCAGTTTTCTTGGAAGATCTCATTTTTCTTTTCTCTGTAAAATGAGAACTTGAAGAGAGATGGTTCTTAGTTAAGATGCCCGAGGGAAAAGAGCAGAGAATGTCTCCTGCTTTAAATGCACATGCCAGCAGGCTTCTGTAATCCCTGTGCCCAGGGGTACCCGGTTGCTGCCTCCTTCGCCTGCTGGGGCAGGTGCAGGAGGCCCTGCTCCAGGGTCAGTGTGTGGCAGGCCTGTCTGCTTTGTAGAGTTATACTTTGACCTTGACCATGCCGTAGCATGTTCTCTGCTAGAAGCTACTGACTCAGGTACCTGGAGGCTTAAGCTGCAGGTTCAGGTTTTAATTTTAAGGCTTATTTTTTATGTATTTGAAAGGCAGAGTTGCAGAGAGAAGAGAGACCGTGCTTCCATCCTCTGCTTCATCATTTCCAGGCCAAAATCTGGAGCCAGGAACTGCTTCTGGTTCTCCCATGTGTGGGTGTGAGGGCTCAGGTACTTGGGCCATCTTCTGCTGCTTTCCCAGGCACATTAGCAGGGAGCTGGGTCAGAAGTGGGGCAGCTGAGACCCACACTAGTGCCCGTGTGGGATGCCAGTGTCACAGGGCAGAGGGGCAGCCAGCCTCGCCACAGTGCTGCCTCCTAGTCTGTGCTATTTTAGCCAGTCTGTCTCATTCCTTGTTTTTGTTTTTGAGGTCAGAACGATGCAAGGTGCATGAGGTTTGTGCTGTAGCCATTGTGTTCCATGTTAAGAGGCATGCAATACTTCTCTGATAACTCCATCTTTTCATCATGCTCGTAGTTAGCACCCCAAACACAAATGGTAAAAGACCCAGTTGCCATGTGGCCATTTCAAGGCGTGGGTATGTCCCTCTGGGGGCGCTGTGCTCCGATGTCCTCGGGGAGCTCACAGGCTTGGGCATAGGAGGGCCCGGCGAGCTGTGAGAGAGCCAGGCACAGACGTCACTGCCACTCTGGCCAAAGAGCTGCACTGAAGGGACCCCGGGGCTGGCCAGGTCGGGGCTGCTGGGCCTCGGCTTTCCTCACCCGGTAGCCGGGGCCTTTAAAGGAGCAGCATGCATGGGACCTGCCTGTCACACTCCACAGCAGGCAGGTCTCCACAGCACACAGGCCAGCATGCCTTGCACACAGTGGAAGTCTCAGTGTCGGTTTCTCTAGTTGTCAGCTTAGTACTGTCTTGACAGACCCTGTTGGATGTGTAAACTTCGCTTTATTATCTGGCTCCTTTTCTGTCTTCTTACAGCATGTTTCACGGGGTGGATGTGGTCTATGGTTTTGTGGTCTATGGTTTTGGTGGCGCTTATAGATGCTGCTGAGGGCAGAGGTCTTGAACCTGAGCCCTTGCCTGCTCCTTTCATTTGGACTCTGCTGATCTAGAATCTGTTAGTCAGGCTGGTATGACTCTGCTGAACAACAGAGAGAGGATTAATGTGGCCAGAAGGTTCTGGGGTCCCATGCGTGCCCACTCAGTTCCAGCAGTGTTGTCATTCTCACCCCAACCCCTTTGCGGAACGACTTCAGAAATGGGCTTTCAGCATCGCTATCTCGTGCCATATGATACAGCTCCGCAAAGCCACCTTCACATGACCTAGTTCCGAAGCACCATGTCTTAATAGATCATTTTCCACACCTCGAAGGCAAGAATCCATGCTGCTCCCCGTCCCGAGGCTGTCTGTGTGGTTGAGGTGCTCCCCATGTTGATGATTGGCACCCCGCCCCCAGTGCAGTGCCCGCTGGCCTTCCCGCCTCACCCAGCAGGTGGCACCAGTCTGTCCCTGTGGCTGAGGCTCTGGGCCCTGCTGCATTCCCACCCCTGGCTTTGCTTTTTTTTTCTTTTTAACTCCACCACTTGTCCATAAGAGAGCCAAGTCAAACTTGGTGAACTGAAGCCATGCAGTCCAAATTTTAAGAACCCCTGTGCTCTAAAGGAAGAAACTTTATCCTTAAGCAAACATTCATCAAGATTCTGAGTCATGACCTCATTCTTTTCCTTTTTTCAAAAGCTGAGTGTGAAAGGCCTGCTGTCCCTAGCTAGACACTAGAAACTTTGGTTCACCTTGAAAGGGAAGAAGCCCTGTGTTGCTGACAGGACCCTTCCAGCACGGCAGAGTTGGGGCGCGTTCTGCTCCTTGAAGGTCAGTGGCAGCCCAGAAGTCTGTGTGACTCAAGTACAGCCCAGCACCACTTACTCAGCCCCCATTTACTAAGCAGCAGTGTCTCCCTTGCTTTCTGTGGCCCTGTTTACTTTTGCTCTCTATGTACTTACATTTATAATCTTCGCTTCTTAGGTTACATAGAACACAGGGGCAAAACCTCAAGTTGGCTCTGTTGAGGCAGCTTGCCAAAGCCAAGGGCTTGGCATGTGGAGGCAGCTGAGAGCACTTCCTGCCCAGCCGAGCCCCAGTGGCGAGGGAGCTGGCTTTACATCTGCCCCTTCCCAGCCATGACGGGCACCTTGTCTCAAGCAGGCGCCCAGTGAGGGCGACACTGGAGTTCCTGGGGCACCCTAGAGACTGAGGGGACAGCAGGAGAGAAGGGGTCCCAGTGTTGAGTACTCTGGGGACAGGCTGTGCTCCTTTCCTTTCAGCTTCTGCCGACCTTGGCCAGGGGCCTTCCACGCTTCCCTCTGGACCATGATGCCTGCGAGACTGTCCTGTGTTTCCTGTGTTTAGGAACCAAGGCTTGCGAGTGCCACACCTTTCTGACTGGCACGCACAGAGTTCCCACTGCCACTGCTTCTCACCTTGTCTTTACACGGCTGTGTGTTGCTTGGCCAGGTAGATGTGTGACTGTGTGCCCAGCTTTCTCAAGCATACACACTCTTGAGTGAGTGAGGTAAAGCTGCCTACTGCTGGTAACAACAGCCTGATGGGGCTTCCCAAAGACCTTGACAGCTGAGGCCCAGCGCCTGCACACAGGCTATGGTCGGTGTTGCTGTTACTGATGGCTGAGGCCCAGCGGCCTGCACGCGGACTGCTGTCAGTGTCGGTCCTGCCGACGGCTGAGGCCCAGCGCCTGCACACAGGCTGTGGTCGGTGTTGCTGTTACTGATGGCTGAGGCCCAGCGGCCTGCACAGCTCATGCCTTTATACACTCTCCTTTGTGGAGAGTGTTGGTGCAGGTCAGTGTGGTGTGTAGACCATGGGAAAGGAGATGCTGCAGGGCAATGAATGTAAGAAGCATTGATTGGGACAGAAAGATGATTGCGCTAGGCTCCCACCTTCCAGGAACTTCTGTCTGCGAAGAGAAAACTGTGTGTGGCAACACGTGTCCATGCAGTGCTGCAGTGTGCGTTCGGGTGCTTCCTGGAGGCACTGGGGAGGTGAGAGTATTGTGAGGGTGACCTGGCCCAGCAGGTGAAGGACATGTGGGAGAGCCGTGATTGGGCAGGGCACTCAGGGTGAGGCAGCAGCCAAGCCTTCCAGAGGACTGGCTGGCTAGTCAGCAGCAGCAGCTCTTGGGCTCCCTGAGTGTGTCTAGGAGCCAGGTGTCCATGGGGGGACCTGTGGGGATGGCACTCAGCCCTGCCACTGCCAGGCAGCTGCTCTGTCTGGGTCATACTCTCCACAACCTCACAGGAGCTGCCTGTATGCCTGGGTCTCTCTCCATGGCCTCGCAGGAGGCAGCTGTGTGTGTGGGTCTCTGTCCACGGCCTTGCAGGAGCCAGCTTTGTCTGGGTCTCTCCATGGCCTCGCAGGAGGCAGCTGTATGCGTGGATCTCTCTCCACAATCTCGCAGGAACCAGCTGTGTGGGGGGGTCTCTGTCCACAATCTCACAGGAGCCAGCTGTGTGTGTGGGTCTCTGTCCACGATCTCGCAGGAACCAGCTTTGTCTGGGTCTCTCCATGGCCTCACACGAGGCAGCTGTATGTCTGGATCTCTCCACGGCCTCGCAGGAGGCAGCTGTGCGTGTGGGTCTCTGTCCACGGCCTCGCAGGAAGCAGCTGTGTGTCTGGGTCTCTCTCCACGATTCGCAGGAGCCAGCTGTGTGTGAGTCTCTCCACGGCCTCATAGGAGCCAGCTGTTTGTGTGGGTCTCTATCCAGCCTCGCAGGAACCAGCTTTGTCTGGGTCACTCTCTTCACACCCTCACAGGAACCAGCTGTGTGTGGGGGGGGTCTCTGTCCACAATTTCACAGGAACCAGCTGTGTGTGTGGGTCTCTGTCCACGGCCTCACAGGAGCCAGCTGTGTGTCTGGGTCACTCTCTCCATTGCCTCGTAGAAGGCAGCTGTGTGTCTGGATCTCTCCGGCCTCGCAGGAGCCAACTGTGCGTGTGGGTCTCTCCAAGGCCTCGCAGGAGCCAGCTGTGTGTGTGGATCTCTGTCCACGGCCTTGCAGGAAGCAGCTGTGTGTGCGGGTCTCTGTCCACGGCCTCGCAGGAGCCAGCTGTTTGTGTGGGTCTCTATCCAGCCTCGCAGGAACCAGCTTTGTCTGGGTCACTCTCTTCACACCCTCACAGGAACCAGCTGTGTGGGGGGGGTCTCTGTCCACAATTTCACAGGAACCAGCTGTGTGTGGGGGTCTCTGTCCACGGCCTCACAGGAGCCAGCTGTGTGTCTGGGTCACTCTCTCCATGGCCTCGCAGGAACCAGCTGTGTGCCTGGGTCACTCTCTCCATGGTCTTGCAGGAGCCAGCTGTGTGTCTTGGTCACTCCACGACCTCTCTGGAGGCATCTGTGCTTTGCAGCTGGAATGTGCCAGGCTGGTTGAGGGGGCTTTCTGAATCCTGGAATTAAATAGGCAGGTTTCTGTGTAACAGCAGGAAGCCTCGCACTGAGCAGGCAGCTTGGGGCTGGAGGATGGAGCTGAGGTTTGCCTGCTGTTGCTCTGCATATCCAAGAAGGGCTGATGCACCTGCTGAGGCAGCCTTTCTTGGGATTACAGGTCCACCAGGGCTAGAATACTTTCATGAGATCTGTATGGAAGAAGCTGTATTTGCAGAAAGAAAAAAAAGAAATCAGTGGGCTTCCTTTAAATCAAGGTTGGGGAACTTCCAGCCTATGGGCCACATATAAGGCCTTTGAAATCATTCGGCGTGGGCCCTGGCAAGGCAACCACCAAAATTCCATAACTCTGGAGCAGGCTGTTTTTCAGTTGATGATTGTGTATTGCCCATGAATGATGTTATAAATATCTAAATGACCCTTGGCAGAAAAACGGTTCCCACCCCAGCAAACAGCACTTTGGTGGAGTGCAGCAAGATGCCATAAATGCTAGGACTGACCTGGAACTGCTGATGAGAGCAGTTCTGCTGGCCATACTGAGGTTCCTGGGAAGGCTGAGCCTGCTGCCTGGAGGCGCCAGGGTGGGTTGCTGTGCTTGGCTGGGCCACGACCCAAGGGACTCCAGCAGGCATGATCCCTGTAGGAGCCCAGGGGAGCCTTCTGTGCAGCTTGTCCTCCCTTCCCATCTCAGGCCTCCCCACCCCCAGCCCACTGGGCTCACCTGTGAGAGCTCTGAGTTTAGGCCTGACAGACGGGAGCTCCCGAATCGGCACTGGGTGAACACATGCAGCAGCAGTGTGAGTGGGGCAGGAGGAAGGGGGAGAGGGAGACGGATGCAGGGCTGAGGGCCTTGGGAGCTGCCAGGGAGTGGACGGATGGCTCTTCCCCACCATGGTGCTTCCATGTGCATGGCGAGCCCAGGCCCAACTCAGGCTTGGTGACACCTTCTGATTTGTGTGTGGCATTGCCTTAAGCCAAAGCAGCACACATGCTGGCACCAGGATCCAGAGCAGCTGGTATACTGTGGAGGCATCAGGGGCCAGAGAAGTCCAAGTGGAGAATTAGTGTAGTCTGTCTGACAGACAGGGCGTGCGTGCTGGCCACCCGCAACAGGCGGGAGAGGCAGGGACCACAGTCGTTGCTGCTGTGCTGGCTTGCATTAGCCACCAGCACAGGGCGCCTGGTGCCAGGGCTTGGGGGTGCTGAGGGCTGCCCCTGCCAGCTTCCCTGGGCCATAGGCTGCAGTACTCACTTGCTCAAGTGGAGGCTGTGGATCTATTGACTTGTTGTTCACTTACAAATAACCTGCGCTCCAAGCAGATGTGGTGTTCTGTGGTGCTAGAGGACAGGTGTTGGCCAAGTGTGGGCAAAGCCCATGAGAAGCAGCCTGCCAGCCCCAGAGGTGCCACCTTCTGAGGGAGCTGAACTCGGTAGCATGGAAGGGATACCCTTTGTTGTTCCACAGAACAGGGATGACCTAGGGGCCCACAAGGCACACCCCTGCAGCACACGCTGGTCCTGCCCCTCTAGGGAGAGGCCCCATGGCCCCAGGGTTGAGGCAGCCAACCTGCAGTGTAGCCTCTGAGTGCACATATCACTCATCCACCCATGTGTGGTTCGGGTCCCCTGGGTCGGGCCCCTCCTGGTCATCTCACATGTTCCCTAGCTTGTGCATGTGCTCAGCTCCTCACATCCTTTATGCTGCTTACCAAGGCCCCTGTGCTACCTCCAGCAGCCCATCTGCTCAGAGCCATGTATTGTTGCCTTAGTAAGACTGGGCCGAGCTGCTCTGAATAGTGGAACATGGTGGCCAGGCGGGAGGCCCAGTCCAGGGCTGGCAGCGGGAGAAACGGCTCATTTTCATTGTGCTTCCTAAGAAAGACGTCTCCCCAGGGGTCAGAGGTGCACTTTCTTCAAAGTGGAAAGCAAGGGGTGGCGTAAACACAGATCCCTAGGCAGCCCTTCTCACCGGAGGCGCTCAGGGCCGCACTTCTGCCAGCTGCCCTCCACTCTGCACCCTGGGAAATGTGTCTGGGGTCTGTCCCTCGCCTGGGTATTGGGTGTCCCCTGGCCCCCTGAAACCATTTGTTAGTTCTCCATTTCCGAGAGCAGAATCTCAGCCATCGGAACCATGGAGCTTCTTGGGCTCAGGAACATAGCTAGCTGGGTCCCACCTCTGGCCAGGGCCTGCCTCTGCCCAGGTCTGTGGATTGGGTAGCAGCCATGCTGTTAGGCTTCTGCTGCCAGGCCGCACCTGGACAGCCTCTCTCGGTCTGACTCTTACCCTACTGTGAGTCTGCATGGGGCTGAGCGGCAGGTGGTGTGCCCTGCCAGGGCCCTGGCACTGACCCCAGCACCCGGTTGCAGGTTGTGAGAGCCGCTGAGGAGGCCGCGTCCACATTGGCCAGTTCCATCCACCCCGAGCAGTGCATCAAGGTGCTCTGTCCCATCATCCAGACGGCTGACTACCCCATCAACCTCGCCGCCATCAAGATGCAGACCAAAGTGGTGGAGAGGATCGCCAAGGAGTCCCTGCTGCAGCTACTGGCGGACATCATCCCGGGCCTGCTGCAGGTGAGCCCAGCAGGAAGGCGTGCCCTCCCCTTGGGCCAGCTTTGTTTACTGTCAACATGTTTGGGTCTTTTTTGTTGCTGCCTATCTCAGTGTGGCCCCAGCGCTGGTGGAGGGAGTCAGTGAGGGTGGGTCAGACAATGGTCTGCTTACTGCAAACAAGTTGGGGCCTAGAGCTAGATGGGGGTGGGGGCAGGAATCCAAGGAGTGCAGCCAGCAGGGATGTGGTTGCAGCAGGCAGGGAGGTATCACTGCCCACTTGTTGACTGCTGTGCTGGGCCTTCACCTCTGCCTGTCAAGGGCTGGATTTCTCACAGGCAACCCCATCCGGATGTGGGGTGGTGCAGGGTCCAGCTGCGGGGGGACATAGACCCTGGGACAGACGGGGCTTTGCCACAAGAACACATGGAGGCATTCCAGTGTGTCTGGGCAGTTACACAAGGACTATGCTTTACCTGCAAGTCCCTTCCCTCCCCACCGTCTCTCCTCTCCCTGTGTCTCTCCTCTTTCTGTGTGTCTGCTCTCCCACAGTGTGCTGTGGGTAGCAGCAAGGAAGAGGTGCCGTGGAGAGGGGACTGCTCTGCCCTTGGACTGTGTCATGCTGTGCCACACGCCAGGCTTTGCCATGCGGGCATGAGAGTGCTCTGGGCTCAGCTGCTGGCCTAGGACTCTGTGCCCAGGCGGTGCCTAGCTGCTCAGAGGCCGAGCTTGGAGGCCTTGGTGGAAACACTGAAGAATTCGATTTTTGTGTTTCTTGGCTGTCTAGGGTTATGACAACACGGAGAGCAGCGTGCGCAAGGCCAGTGTGTTTTGCTTAGTGGCAATTTATTCCGTAATCGGAGAAGACCTGAAGCCTCACCTGGCACAGCTCACGGGGAGCAAGGTATGTGTAGGGTGTCGTGGGCTGCCAGGCCAGGCTCTGTGCACGTGCCCTCTTCGGGAGTGGCTCACCAGGCCTCATCTCCCCCAGAGCCTTCTCGAAGGTGAAGTGGGCACCCCAGAGACATGCACATTATTGTAAGGAGATATTAACACCATGCAGCACAGTCTATTTCAGGTTTGTGGCGGGGAGGGGGGATTGAAAACACAAAATCATATTTCTGGTTATGTGTATTAAAAATTTGTTTGTTCAGTCAGACGTCTTTGTTAGTCAAAAGCAAGCCCACTGCAAATGACCTAGCCTTATTTGAAATGTTTCCCTATTGTGTTTCCAGAATGTACTGTTCTTTGGCCCGTGTGTGTAGGGTGTGCCTTGCAGACCGCTGCCTCCCTCTGTGCTGCTTCTCTGTGGGCAAGGCCTTGGCCCCCACCCCCCCCCCCCTTGCTTGCCATGGGACACTAGGGGTCTGTCCTTCCTGCTGTCAGAGGGACGATACCCCAGAAGGAAGGGCAGCTTTCATCGGAACCTAGCTGGGAGCCTAGAACCTAGAGGACTCGGCAGTGCCCTGGTACTGATTGGCCAGAGGGGGTGAGGCAGGCAATGAGTGAGAGCAAGATAGCCAGAGGGAGTGAGGTGGCCAGTGGGTGGGAATGAGACAGGCAGTATGTGGGAGTGAGGCAGGCAGTGTGAGGGAGTGAGACGGGCAGTGTGAGGGAGTGAGTGAGGCAGGCAGTGTGAGGGAGTGAGGCAGGCAGTGGGTGGGAATGAGACAGGAAGTGGGTGGGAATGAGACAGCCAGAGGGAGTAAGACAGCCAGTGGATGGGAGTAAGGTGGCCAGTGTGAGTGAGGCAGGCAGTGTGAGAGTGAGGCGGGCATTGTGAGGGAGTGAGAAAGCCAGAGGGAGTGAGGCTGGCAGTGGGTGGGAGCAAGGCGACCAGAAAGCTGTGCCTGGTGGATTCTTGTTCATTCACCTGCTCTATCCAAGTGGCTTCTCACATATTTTCTACAAATGCGAGTTTCTGTTGATTCCTGATATTGGACGATTATCACCAGAATAGATTAACTTCATGGCATTCCTGTGGTGCTGCCTGCTGCCTTACACTCTGTGTGTTCTGGAGCCTCAGGGCTCCAGCCGAAGGCAGGTGGGTCCACAGCTGTGGACGTGTTCCGCTGTGGAACGTTGCCCAGGCTGAGCGTGTGTGCTTCCAGCCTAGGAACTGGCCTCAAGGAGGCCTGGTGTGTGGGAATCAGGGGGCAAGCCCACCACTAACCCTCCTGGGCAGCCTAGAGCCCCGTGTCTTCAGGCTCAGCCACCTGGGTGAGAAACACTTGGAAAAATGGCATCTGTCATGGACTGGCATGCTTTAAAAATATTTATTTGAAAGCATTACAGAGAGAGGGAGAGACAAGAGAGGTGTGATACCTACTGAACTACTCCCCAAAGGGCTGCAATCCCCAGGCACTGGCCCCAGGCTTTTCTTACATTTGCTAAACACAGTGTGAAAGCTACTTCCACAGCCCCTATGTCGTTCTGTGAGTCACTGGAGCCAACTCGAAGCCCATAGGGAGATGTGTGGGGCTGCATCACTTTGTGTCAGACTGTGCCACCTAAGCTTAGGGTGAACGTGAGGTGTGTCATCCAGTTTTGTCCCTGGAGTTTGCTGAGGGGACTGTTTGCCCAGTGCACGCAGGGCCGTCGGTGGGCGGGGAGAAGCATGGGGTGAGCATGGAGTGGGGTGGGCCTCAGTGGCAGGAATGCAGTCACCTCCACGTGGGTGGGGGTGAGAGTGTTGCACTTCAGCCCTTCCTCTTCCTCGCTGTGACAACACCATGGCCTCGCTCTGCTTCTCCAGTGGCTTGGAGGAAGCCGCCGGGCCCCGTGTTCTGCCGCAGCGGTGGGTCGAGGCCTACAATGTGTGGCAGGCTCCCACCCTGCCATATCCACCATCAGGCAGGGATCAGGGGACCTCTCATTTTCTCGTTCTCTCCTCCCATGGCCTTGCCTGCCAGTTGTTTACTCCTTTCTTCTCCTTCCAGATGAAGCTGCTCAACTTGTACATAAAGCGAGCCCAGACCACCAACAGCAACAGCAGCTCCTCCTCAGATGTGTCCACACACAGCTAATGGCGGTACCCACACACAGCTGATGCCTCGGAGACCTCTCCCCGCCCCTCCCCGGCTGCCCAGGCCGCACAAGGAGGCCCGCCGATATTTATTACAATCAGTATTTTGGTCCCTTCCAGCTTTTGTGTAGAATCTTCCTGGTGTTGAATGTAAAGACAGCAAGCCTGTGCTGCAGCCATCACACAGATGCAAGCAACAGGAACTGGAAAGAGCCATACTTGACCCCATGTTTGCTGCCTGCCAAGACCCCAGACATGAGTGGGGTGCAGTGTTTCCACACAGAGCACTCCCCAATACCGAGGAGCCTGTAGGCTGGTCTTGGTTCTCCAGGCCATAGAGGTGGGGTGGGGTCTCCTTCATGTTCTTCCTCCTTGGCATGCGAATTCCCCGAGTGTGGCCTGTGCGGGGGCAGTGTGCCTGTCTGCATCAGAGCCCATACGGTGACTGATGGTCTGTCTGCACTTAGTGCTTTGAGACCCAGTAAGAAGAGGCGAGAGGCCCTCGGTGTAGACATTGAGCACTGGGTGAGTGCAGCCCGTGGCGTCGCATGGTGGGCTGCCTGGCATGGACGCAGGAGAGAGCGACACCACCCCTGGCTCCCCATCCCAGGGCACCCATGTGAACACTCTTCACATGCAAGCCTGAGGCAAAAGCAAGGCTAGGGGATAAGGGACAGTACGAGTTAGGGGTGCCTGCAGCACCACCTGCCTCCTGCCCCGCAGGCTCAGCCGGAACTGCGTGCTTCCAGAATGTTCTGTCAGCCTAATCACAGCTCCCTGGCCATCTCACTTCTGACGTCTGTTTAATTTGGGATTTAGAGCAAAGAAGAGTCTAGAGAGACCACAGATCAGAATCATTTCTTACAATTTTGTAAACCAAAGTACTTCCTTGATTGTTGAAATGGTCATTGCTTATGGATCAAGGAATGGCATTTGGCAGCAAGACGGGACCTGGAGCACACTCCTTAGAACCCACTTCCTCTGCTTGCCCAAGGAGCCCTTTTCCCGCCTGGCCTGGTCGGATACTCTGACAAATGTAGACGTAGCGTGGCTCGCTAAGGTGAGCTCTGAGACGGTCCCGAAGCCAAAGGGTTGATCTTAACGCAATCATGGCGAGTTCTGTTCTCTTACTGTTCTGCTTCACATCTCCTGACCTGATTGTTTTTCCCACAAGGAAAATGATTCTTTTGGTGTCCTGTCGGTGAGCTGTTGCCCACTGTACCCACTGGGCTGAGCACGGAGGCTTGGCCACCTAAGTGTGGCTTCTTGTCCCGGTTTCGATGCGTCTCCTCCGATCCCCAACCTTCCCGGCATGCGTGGGAAGAACTGAACAACAGCTACCTTACTTGGAAATAATGCACTGAAAATGAAGGCCTTGCAGCAGCCAGGACAGTGAGGCAGGCCCACTGCTTGTGTGTGTACCTGCGTGTGTGGAGGGGTGTGTCACCCACAGAGCTCAGGGTGTGTGTGTGCATGTGTGTGTGGAGGGTATGTCACGGAGCTCAGTATATAAGGAGCGTGTGTCACCCACAGAGCTCGGGGTGTGTGTGTGCGTGTGTGTGCATGTGTGTGTGGAGGGTATGTCATGGAGCTCAGTGTGCATGTGTATGTGTGTAAGGAGCGTGTGTCACCCACAGAGCTCGGGGTGTGTGTGTGTGTGCATGTGTGTGTGGAAGGTATGTCACGGAGCTCAGTGTATAAGGAGTGTGTGTCACCCACAGAGCTCGGGGTGTGTGTGTGTGTGTGCATGTGTGTGTGGAGGGTATGTCATGGAGCTCAGTGTGCATGTGTGTGTGTGCATGTGTGTGTGGAGGGTATGTCATGGAGCTCAGTGTATAAGGAGTGTGTGTCACCCACAGAGCTCGGGGTGTGTGTGTATGTGTGTAAGGAGCGTGTGTCACCCACAGAGCTCGGGGTGTGTCTGTGCTTTGTGCATGTGCGTGGAGGAGTGTGTCGCACATGGAGCTCCACTGCTGCTGTTTAGGGGACTGCGGGGCCATCTCCAGGGTCGAATCCTGAACACCACCTCAGCTCACAGCGTGGCTGGACCAGGCCTTGGGGAGAGGGAAGTGCCATTTGCTTGTTCATGTTTCATTGCCAGGTTCCTGGAGCCTTCACTGTCCCACTGAGTTAATTTATGAGTCACTTGGCGCCTGATCCGAGCAGGATCGTGCCCCCCTACAGCCCCAGGGAGTGGAAGGTCTCGCACACTGCCTGGCATCCTCACAGTCAGTACTCACCAAGGGCTAGCACAAACACCAACTGGCCCAGACTCCGGCCTCCCCTCCCCGCGAGGGCTCGCTCAGCTGCAGCTGAGCCTGCTGCCTGCGTGCCTGCCCACCTACCGCCGCGCCTCACGTGCCGCCAGCACCTCACTGCGAGGGGGGCCGTGCTGGCCACTGCCCTGCACGGCTCCTGCTGAACCACCGGGCCCTGGAGAGCGAAGTGCCCCAAGCCATGCTGGCCTCCTGGCTGCCTGACTCTCCAGGGCCCCTGCCTCCCCTGCAGATACAGCATCCATGGTTTGCTTTCCCTGCCACCTGTTGCTTGTCACACCCCAAGGAGGAACGTGGGAGCTTCGCAGACAGTGCCGCCCCACCTTAGCTCCTAGGCCTGTTTGGAAACAGCGGTTAACACTCCAAGAAGCAAGTGCCGCGACAGCCCCATGGCGCTGCGTCCACTCGCATGGCCCCACGGCCCCAGGTTGGGGGTTCCCTTGGTTTTTGGGTTTTTTTGGGCTTTTTCATGTTACATCCATATCTGTATTTATATCTTATTTGTTTCACTTTCAAGTGTATCATGGCAAATGTACAGACTTTTTTTGTTAATAATGTGCTAGAATTTGCTAAAAAAGAAAACAAGAAGAGTCCCTTTTGAGTTTGCCCTAGAATAAATGAAATTTAATTCAGCTTCCTGGTCTAGTGCTGTCCAACCCATTGCTATGCTAAGCCCCTGCCATCTGGCCACCAGAGACTGACCTGTCTGGCTGGGGTGCCCTGGGGCTGTGGCCTCCCTGCCCTGGGCCCCACCTGCTCCGCTTCGCAGTGGGACCTGGAGCTGCTAGCCCAAGTGGAAACAGGAGGAACCCAAGACATGGCTGGTGGGGCGCTGTGAGAGCAGCTGGCGCCCCTGTAACCATGACACTGAGCAGGGGCTCCCTGGCTGCCTGGAAGCTGCACCCTTTCTGCAGTCTTCCCAACTTTTGCGAGTGTGCAGCCATCAGCACTGGGCCAGTTCTCTGTGTAGTGATCCAGTCGACCCAGTAAGCACCTGCTCCCCGCCCACTGGACTGCCAGTCCCTGCTGCCTGCTGCTCATTTCTGGGAAGGTAATGAAGCCCAGACACGTGAGCAGTCACCCCCACTCCTGCACCTATGGGGACAACCTGAGTGCAGGCAGGCAGATGGGACCCTTCTCACCTGAAGCAGGATGGTGGGCTGTGGATGGGCAGTAAGGCACAGGGCTTGTGGTGTGTCTAGCCTTCGGGGCATCTTTCCTCTCTGCTGCAGGGCTGGGCTTCCTGGGGAAACCATTGGTATTTACATGAGGAAGGCACTCCCCTCTCTGAACGTGGATCACTGACCTGATGCTGCATCCCCCCCTCTGAACTTAGGGTCCCCCAACCTAATGCGTCCACCTCTGAACCTGGGACCCCCAACTGATGCTGCATCCCCCTCTGAACCTGGGGTCCCCCCATCCGATGCCCTGTCCCCTCTGAACCTAGGGTTCTCACTTGATGCTGCCTCCCCCTCTGAACCTTGGATCTCCCCACCTGATGCTATAGAGCCCTCACTGCTCTTATGCTAACATGCTGCTTTCCCCTGAACCTACTCCCCTCATCACCTCTGCTCACTGGGGCTCTTGGCTACTATTCCCCTGGCCCTTCACTTCCAGCCTTGCAGCCCTCCCCCCTACCACACACACCCCAGGAATGTGACCCAGGAGCAGCCAGTCCCTGCCTGCCGGCTTTCTGCCAGCCGCGCACCCCTCCCCCCGCGTCATAGCCTTGTGCACACTGCAGGGCCCACTGCCCACAGCTGTCTGCAGGCACACACATACCTAGGCTTCAGGTCTGAGCACCCGTGGCAGCTTCATGCCTCCCTAGGGAAGAGTCTGCACTGACCGCTTTCCATCATCTCCTTAACAGTTGTGTCTCATTTTGCACCTGCCTTTGGGATTCACATAGAACAGCACAGCGAAGACATACAGAGATGGGAGAGGGGCCTGGCATGATAGCCTAATGGTTAAATCCTCAGCTTGCATGAGCCACATGGGTGCCAGTTTGTATCCTGGCTGCTCCACTTCCCAACCAACTCCCTGCTTGTTGCTTGGGAAAGCAGTCGAGGACGGCCCAAGGCCTTGGGACCCTGAACCCACATGGGAAGACCTAGCTCCTGGCTTCAGATTGGGTCAGCTCTGGCTGTTAAAGTGGGTACTTGGGGAGCGAATCAGCAGACATAAGCTCTTTCTGTAAATCTGACTTTTCCAATAAAAACTTGATCATGCTGCTCATGGCCTGCTTCCAGCAGCAGGGGGGGCCCCGGCTCCCGCCATTGTCCACATGGGCAGTGATGCCAGAGGCCCTGCTTTGCCCATGTCTCCTGAGGGCCTGTTCCTCGGGGCATTTTCTACAGGTGTAGGCAATGGGACCACGTAGACACACCCAGAGAGGCAGGCAGACTTCCCAGACAACTTAAATGCTGGAGCCAGACCAGCTTTTTTAATCTTTATGTGGCCACAAGCTTCGTCTGGGTCTTCCACATGGGTGAACAACCCAGCACATCAACAGGGAGCTGGATCGGAAGTGGAGCAGCCAGGACTCAAATCGGTGCCCGTGTGATGGCGGCTCCAGTGCCACAGGCAGCTGCTTTCGCCACTGTGCTGCAGCACAGGTCCTCAAGTCAGCGTTCCCCCATAGAAGCACAACGTGATTGGGGTTGTTAATGGCCCAAGTGCCTGGCAAAAGCATAAACACCCTGCGGAGGAAGATAACATCATCTGGGCTACGACAATATTTGTCCACTGT